TCTCCAATCACAGGGGTAAAAAAAAAAGTGCATGTCAGTGATTTCAGCACAGGAAATAATGAATTTCAGTGTCCTTATCGAATCATATTTTGCTGTTAATCCCACAATAAAGTCAGAACGAAAAACTTGGCACACTGGGATGGTTTGCTGCTGCCCTGGATAGTATTTTTAGATTTATTTTGAAATAATATCAAATTATTATTATTATTATTATTATTATTATTATTATTTCTACGCTAAGCTTTTTTTTTATTGGTTTCAGTCATCCACAAATCACATTAACTTATAATCAGCCTTGTCAACTTTCTGGTTGAAAGGCCGAGATGATTTCCTCTAGTTGACTGGATAATGCTTGTTGCTTAGAAACTGTAAAAAATAATAATAATTATAATAAATGACTAAAATCATGTGAGATGCTGACAGAATTCACCAAAACGTCATTTGTAGTCATGCGACCGTTTTTGCCAATAAAGCCTGCCAACGGGGTGCACTGTCAATATTAATGAAGACGATGCTCCAAATATGATGACCTGACAGCAACAACAACATGAAGGCAAGGCAACAAGGCGTTTTAAAGGATGTGGCTCTGTGCTTGAGAAGCGTGAGGGTCTGGTTTGATAAAAGATCTGGAGGTTGATGCAGAGAGAAAGAGAGAGAGAGAGAGCGAGAGAGAGAGAGAGAGAGAGGGAGAGAGAAAGGGAGCGGGAAAGAGAGAGAGGGCGAGAGAGAGTTGATTGAAATGGCGTGTGCCTGGCTGACGGGAGCCAGTGAGGGACAAAGCCCCTGCGAAGCCACGGCCACTCGAGCAATTATTCCTCCACGCTGCATTTGGATTAGTGCAATGGAAAGAAGCATATGTTTGGCCCGGGGCGACACTCCCCCCCGGCTGACTGCAGAGGATTCAGGGAGAGACACGGGGAGAGGCAGAGGGAGAGAAGGAGAATGACTAAAACTAGAAAATAAACTGCGTTAACCGAATGGGGAAATATTAACACAATTTTAATCCGCTCATCTTCCATATATTTGGAGATATACAAGCTCGGTTTCATCTCAATGTTTTGATAGAAGAAGACTATATATATATATATATATTCCAGAAAAAACTGTGGGCGCTGTTTATGTTCACACACCTCTCATTTTCATTTTTGTGAATGAGCCATATTGAGGTGGATCTATTGAGCTCTAATGCCTATCAGGAGTGCCTCTGTTTATTCAAAGTCACTTAATGTTTTCTAATCGATTACCTAATGTCTCAAGTAATCAAGGGCGATTTGGTGAAGTCATTGACCTTTCTTGGCTTCTGAGCCCTGGCTTGCTGAATGGGCAAGGGGGCCCAAAGGGGGTCAGAGCCAGGCGGTGGGGGGGATAAGCTGCAAATGACGGCTGATGTCAGAGTTGACGACAATTAGCCATTTTGCGCTTCATTGCAAACTTCGAAAATCACATAATTCAATTGCGCCAATAGCCGTATCAAATGTCTTTTAGGGGAACCTTTTGCGCCTTGTCCGCTCTACTTATTATTAAGTCGGCAGTTTGAAATGCGCCGATAGTAAAAATAAGATACAAGTCGTTCTACATAGCAGACTCCAGTGGATAAAATGACCATCTGTTTGCTATTATTTGAGACTTTGCCCTCTCTTACTACTTCTAAAACATCAACATGTTTAGTCCATCAAAAGCCTTTATCAAAACACCTCTGCTCCATCAATCAACAAAAACTTTCCCGCATTGTGTGGGTAC